CACCCCCACTGTCCCATGGAAAATATGCACAGTATTTACTTATTTGTTTCTCGGTAATGACAGTCATTCCGACTATTGCTTGCTTCATTTCTGCCAAGTGGGGCAAAGAAGAGGAAACATATGTAGGTCTATCCAAAGCAGAGATTATATAGTAAACATTAAACTTTAAAATGTTGGTAACTGATTGCATACATTTAGCTTTAGATTCATAAGGTATATCCATAGTTTCATATGCATAAAGCATATGCTAAAGTAAAGGTAATTACAGGCTTAAACCTTTTTGAAAAAAATAATGCTGACTGGGTGCTTGTTACATATTTTGAAACACAAATTATAGCACTAGAAATGATAAATGGCAAAGCGTTGGATAGCAATTCAGCTACCCCAAAAAGTTTGGATGAGCCAGAGAAATTGGTCTCCTTGGAATATGCAGAAATGCAGGATCACATTTTGCTTTGCAAAACACAGCAATCATCTGTATCTTTCAATGCATTTGTAGCTTTCTTCATTTGGGGAAACAAGAACTGGACAATGTTGTAGCACTGCAAACAAATCCATATTGGTAGGTTTTCAGTACACAAGTTAAAATGCCAAGTTATGCTAGCTTCCTTGTATGCTTAAAACATTTCTGTACTTCCCTGTACTTCAAAATGTCTAGGTCTGTTTACAATAAAGACATTCGAACAATGAACGGCTATGTGTCTGTGTGGGTGTGGGTGTGTAGGGGTAATTTGGGTAGGATAGACTAGGATAGCAAATACACTTCCCATATCTATTGGGATGTTTGCTTTCATTTCCCCAATTCCCAGATTATATTTTACTTTAGCCTTCCCCAACCTGATGCCCTCCAGCTGTATTAGGACTAACTACAATTCTCCCAGTTCCCAGAAAATGTAGCCAACACCAAATTGGGAACTTTGAACGCTGAAGATACCAGGTTGGGAAGGGTACATTATATCAGTGAAATACAGCAATTCTAATGAATAGTTTTGAGTTATAGTTTCCCACCTTTTCAAAGTGGCAAATGCGCAAAAGTGATGACACAAACCCTCTAAATTAAAATGGTTTTTTAATATAAAGAAAAACATAAATACTCCCTCCAAAAATGCAAGGGAAAAAAAAAAATAACCCCATCTACATGTGTGCCATGGCCTCCCCCATTTGTGCATAATTGCACTGTCTCATCTAGCACTCACCCTTTTAAAAATTGTTTAATGTGCCATGCAAGCCACTAAAAGGTGGCCTATCCCGGTGCAGAGTTAAGGTCTTTCCCTACTTGAACTTAATCTCATGTGTCCCAACAACCTCTTTTTTTCCTGTCATGATATTGCCTTCATCTTGTCCCTTATCCATATGGAAGGCAGCTTAAATTCACCCTCAATTGCTCTGGTATTAGTGACTTTCCCCCATAAGCAGTCAACAAGCTATGGCAGTTTTACTGTAAGCACAGTCTGAGGAGGCTATTTTCATCAATCGTTTTGTTGGTGGTGCTTCAGGTGATCCAAGGCAGGGAGAGCTGACCAGCACCAGGATACTCAAAGAGGGGATAAGAAAAAGGAAGCGGGAGCGTCATCAGGGGTCTTTTGTTCCTTGCATATTTCCCCACCATCCTCCAAAGCGGCAAAGCTTAGAAGAGATGGTCCTGTGGGACAAAGAGTATTTTGGGAACTTCCTAGTTGTGGACTTCCTTCCAGCTTTTGTATTCCAAGCTCTCCTGAAGAGGCAGGCAGAAGGAGAAACAACTCTTCGGGTTTACTTATGACTTCCGCTCATCCAATCAGTGTCATTTCCTCAGCATTTTTAGGTAGGAATAGTTGTGTCAGTGAGATCAAATGATACAGCTGTGCAAGCAGCGGTAGTAAACTGTAGATTACAACTGATGCATCTATAATGCCACAGTATGCCAAAGTCTGGAACCAACACCAAGTTCTGGTTAATGTTCTTAATTTATGTCAGATCTTATTTTTTCCAAGAGTTTGGAAAGTGTTCACTTATAGCAACATTTATACACGCAATCTTCATCATTCACAGGTTCTGTATTTGCGAATTTGCCTACTCACAAAAATGTTTTTGTAACCAAAATCAGTACTTGTGGCACTGTGCTTATTCAGGGACATGTGGAGTGGCAAACCACTGGGATTGCCTGACGCACATGCTCCCAGCTGAGGTTTCCGCATTTGCAAATTTGGTATTCGCAGCATTTTCACGGAACGGAACAATTGCGAATAACGAGAATTGCCTGTATCTCATCTTTCTAAGCCAAAGCTAACCTAAATCAGGTTACAGTAATCTACAGTGATAAATATTTCTTAGGATCTCAGGGAATTCCCTACTCAGATAATGCAGGAGACATATTGAGGCATTATAAATATGGAGAATATATTTCAGGAGTGCTGCACATAAACACTGCCTCCCTTGCTGAGATCCAGAGCAGATACAATTTTCTGGGTATATTCATGCTGGCTTTCATGTGAGCCAGGGCCTGTGTTAGGATCCTGGGTTCTGGTACAGTTATAGGCACAAAGGTATCTCTGCTGCAAATTTTGACATTGTAATTATTTCACTAGAGCATGGAGGTGGGAGTGAAGTGGTGCTGATGTGGGTTGAATGCTGCACAGTTCTAATGTCTAAATCGGACTATGACTGCAGCATTATGCGGTCTCATATTATGTCCAGAGGCTCAATTGTTTCTTCAGTCTTTCATTGAACTAGTGAACTGGTCAAGATAAGCATGCAAATCTAAGATATGACTACTGGTGACAGCAGTGGAGTTTTTGAGGCTGAAAGAGAAATATAATAGGTATGCACTCAATATGCCAGCAAGTTTGGAAAACGCAACAGTGGCCGCGGGATTGGAAAAGGTCAGTTTACGTT